ACTTGTATTTTATTTCACTATTATTTCATTTCAGGTTCATTTTGCTCAATATAATTGTTATTTTCAGCTTTTCATTTTCAATTCTTCTTTTTTATTTGTTTCAGGGATTTTAAATCATTTTATATAGTAGACAATGGAAATCCGAACTAGTGAAATTCATCATGAAACATTGTCAATCACCTTCAAACAAAACTTTCAGTACTTTAGATCCAATGTAAAAAGCTACTTTCGCACGGGCACCGCTTTTAGAAGCGTGCAATATTTATACATCTCCATAGGAAACATGATGTTATTCTCATCTTTCAACTTTATACTCTGTTCGTTTTTACTAAAATTGACAAAGGTTATGAAATATCAGTCAATAATAGATCTGAGTTATATTTTTTTTGTTTCAGGCATTCATTGAAATATATTTTTATTCGAATTGGGACTGCTCGCCGATTGATTACTCACATAGTCCTCGTAACAAATATGTAGTTCGGATGTATCATCTCTTCTTCCTCATCAAAGTAGTTGATTTGATAGATACGGTATGTATTCATGGCGAATGTAACAATGCCTCATTTTAAGTGTTCTAAAAACATTATAATGGAATGAAACCAAAGTTTTTTATGGCTTTTTGTGGCTGTTGCAGGTTTGGAATTCATGAGTCTTAGAAGTTGTGAACAAATTTGAAATCTGTGAATGAAAATTGAATTGAAAATAAGGGAATTCGAAATGAGTTACTTACAAAAAAAATAATGTCAGATATGGGTTGAAATTGAGCAAAATTGAATTAATAAATGGGTTGAATAATGAATGAAATATCAAATATTTACAATCTCTAGAAGATGAAAATAAAAATAAAAGAGAAATGATGGAACATTCAATAATGAGAAAAATAAATATGAGGAAAAATTTGATAAAAAGTTCAATCTCAGCTATTCAATATTTTTCTATTGTTATCGTCTTCGGGTGTTGATGATGTTGATAGAAATCAGTATGAAAAGCATGTCGAGAAGTATTTATATATTTTTAAAGTAAAACTGAGTTGTTGGAGTGTTATTGCATAATCATGATTAACCGGGTGAATAAGATTCCAGACTATTCATTATAAGGTATTTATAGATACATTGNTGGACTTATTCCTCCGAGATCTGATTATTTATATGTCATTCGAGTGCTTTCACCTATCCCCTTTTCCTTCTCTCTACTTCATTGGTTCCAGCGGGAGATGACTGTTTGACGGGAGTTGGTCGTTTTTCGCTTGATTAGAGGTTTCAATATATTAGGTATCTCTACGCTAGCTTGACTAATTGCGTTGTTGGACAACATATACGCGGCTTCTTTGAATTTTCTCGTGAGCCAGTGTTCCTCTTTGTGGATGATTCCAGCTTGAGCCCGAATTATGTTATGTTGATGAGTCCAAGCATGCTCTGCTATTTCGGATTTGCTGGTTTTTCCTCGCTGTGTGTGTTTCTTGTACTCAGCAATGCGAACCTTCAATGGCCTCTTAGTTTCACCGATGTATGATTCTCCGCAGTCGCAGGGTATCCGGTAAATGCAATTCTTGAAATCGCAGTCCGCGTTTGGTGGCCTGGTTTTCGTGAGGATGCTACATAGTGTTCCCAGATCTGAAACAGGTCCTGATGTTATACTTGGACCCAATCCTTCTACATCTACATCAGAGGATTTATATTATATTAGACAATGGAAGTCCGAACTCATGAAATACATCATGAAACATTGTCAACCACCTTCAAACAAATCATTTCGCGTTGCTTCGTCCAATAATGTTCATTGATTCATTTTTTTGTGACAGTACCAGTTTATCGATATTTTGCTTGATATTGGCGAATGTACACATATGTTACATTTCTCTCTGGATGCCTCTGATTGAATACTTCAGTTGTTCTCAACATACACTGATCTTTTCTACCATGAATACAAATCTTTTCCACACGTTCAGCTGTGTTGTACACCATTGTTGCAGATAAAAGTTATGTTTCTTTTGTAAAACGTATCGAAATAAAAATCAAATGTATTAATAATAAGAGGATAATCTCTCTTTTCGAATTTGGAAATGCAATTCAAGAATACCCCTCAAAAACGAATATTCCTTACACCTTTTTCTGTTACTTTTACTTATCAATTGGGTGAATTTTTTCCAGGTTCAAATAAACAAAATCACTACAGGCGTGAAATGTTTAAGAATTCTAATATTAATGCTACGGTGGTAACGAGAAAGTTTTTGAATATTTCTCAAATTGACAATAGAAAATAAAATTTGAATTTAAATAAATAGTGTTTGATTTAATGAACCAAAAACTACTATACTGAATGTAGCTTTGAAGGACACCATTTCTTGAGAGCTTTCAGATAAGGTATCATGGGTAGGGAGTGCCATTCAAGAATATAAAGTTAGGGTGGCTGAGGGCAAGGGAGTAAAAGGAAAAAAGTCAGCTATTATATCATTTAGTTTTTCCCTTCCTATTATGGTAGTTGTTTTTGAAGATTTCTTATACAGGGTGATTCAAAAGTACTTTGACAAACTTCAGGAGGTGATTCCTCACAATATTATAATATGAATTGTCCAACTAAATAAATGTCCGGAAACGCTTCGTTTCCAAGATACAGGATGTTGAAGTTTCATTTTTATTTTCGTTTTTTTCAAATAACTTTTGAAATACTGAACTTAATTAAACGAAACTTGGTAAT